CCCATTCTGCAGCCGTCAAGACCGAGGAAGACAGAGTTCTGCAGGCATGCAAGGGCTGAAGAGGTTTGGTATGGGGAACAAACCCAAGTCTGTGCTCCCAGGTGAGCCACTTCCTCCCCACCTGGCTTGGCCTGGCAGGTTCACAGTGCCCTCACCTCTGCACTAGGTCTTGTCCCTAGGCAGGTCCTTGGAGCCCATATGCATGCTGCCCTGGCCTGGCACCAGCACCAACGCCGCCCCCACGGCACACCTCTCACCTGTCTGGAGCCACGGACCCGGTGGCAGGTTGCAGGCAGTGGCCGACAAAAGCCGCGGGCCTCGTTCAGTCCCCAGGGAGCAGGGGAACGGATCCAGAGCTGCTTCTAGATGGCCCGTCTTCACAGTCGAGAAGCGCCAGCACTTCTTCCCTCCACGCAGAACCAGAGCAGAGCTGGGGGAAAGGGAGAGAGTCTGACATGACCTTGTTTTTGAGAACAGCAAAACTCAGCTCACAAATGACAACGGCAGCCCCAAAACCACGGACGCTCAAAGGGGATGAAGGCCACGTTGGCGCGGGATGCCACATGCCATGGCCTAGCTCTGGCTTCTCACGCCGGCCTCCAGGTCACCGCGCCGCGGTATCGTGGGTGCAGAGGAGCACGCGGGGCGAGTGCACGATGTTGACAGGGATGCCTGTCGACATGCGAGCAAATCACCGCGGGGGATGGGTGCTGAAATCTGCTATCAGAGCCCAGCTGAGCTCATCTGGGATTCATCTTGGGAGGGGTGGGTGCAGGTTTTTTGGCCCCTTCCTCTCCTTTCCCCCCACCCCCCGCTCCCCGGAGCATTCCAGCCGGCTTTGGAGCAGCGAGACTGTCTCGAGCTCCCAGGAAGGCCCTGGGCCGCGTGGAGCCAGCCTTCTTCCCATCCATCATCCTTATCAGCGGTCTCTGGCAGTGCGGCGGTCCCTGGCAGCAAAGCCTGCCTGGCCAGAAGCAGGGGGCGAGATGGAGGGTGCAGCCCGCACGGAGACGGGGAGGGCACATTGGAGTGATAAGCAACACTACAAACAAAAACAACTGTCCTCGGCGGGAACTTCAAAGCCCCCGGGGCCGAAAATTTATGTGGCTGAAGAATGCTCCACCATGGGGCAGCTAAGCAGGGTCCCCAAGGCAGGGGTGGGTTTCGGGGTTAGGTTCCTGGGTGACCTGGATGCGGCGAGAGCAGGTTTCAGGCTTGTGGCAGGGACCCAGCACAAGAGCTTGTGCCCAACACCAGCATTGGCGGTGCCAGGGTGAAAGGGGCTGCGCTGGCAGAGGTGCATCATGCCGAGGTCCCTCTCTCCCTGGGGCATCCTCCAGGACAGTGGGGCCAAGGATTTGGGAAGACGTGCCACAGATTAACTCCTGCACCATCCCCAAGTGCCACTCCCACCCCCTTCTGCTGCTCAAGGTGCTGATTTTTTTCCTGCTCTGGCCACGTACCACCTGCCACACACTGCCCACCCCTGCTCTAGGAGGAAGCTCAAAGCTTTTCCAGGAGCCAGCAGGAGCTAATGCCAGAGACCGGACCTGCTCCATGAGATGGCTAAGCCTTAGCAAGGTGCTCAGTTCCCGGCCACATGCAGATGGCCTTGACATAAGTTTCCTAGGAGGATGGAGGGGTGGGACGGTCAGTGCATGCTTGCTGGACGCGTGCACTTTGTCAGGCAGGGCAGCCTTGGCCCAGACCCAGGGCCTAACTCTCCTTTGGTCTTTCTGAGCTACCAGGAGATTGCAACCTGTCTAAACCCCTGCACACCCAATAGCAGCATGGAAAGCCAAATGCTGCAGCCTCCCAAAGGCCCAGGCATGTCTGCAATGTGGGTTGGAGACTGCTTTGCTCACGGGGGGATGGCAGTGGGATCTCTCCTCTCTGCTAGACTGCTCCATGCAATAGGACTCAAGCCGCTCCGTAGGATCCAGCCTGGGGCAGATCAGCTCTGATGCCACCAGAGCCTGGTGCTGAGCCCTTGACCTACCTGGATACAACGTGGGAAGTGCAGAAGCAGGAAGAAACAGATGGGGACCACCCCCACCCCAGCCCCTGTCCTGCAAACAGGCAGCAGAAGGCCAGTACTAACTGCAGCCTGCACAAGCCTGCGCTTGCAGCTTGCCTTGGCTTTGTTTTCACTTGAAGATAATGTCCTGTTTGGAAAAAGTCCTGGGATCTGCTTGGGAAGGAGGCACGCGCCCAGCTTGGTGAACAAACACACCGAGATGCCCAGATAAGCACAACTGCTGGGGTGGGGGCAAAGAGAAACATTTCCCCCTCGAGCCTGGTGTACGCTTGAAAGCCTTACCGGTCTAACCGGCTGGGACAGGGGATGATTTTTTTTTTTGGATTTGTTTTTGATTTTTTTTTTTTTTACCAAATTAGCTCCGCTGGGACAAGCTAGTAGAAGCACAGCTCCATTAGTGTCCTACACCCACCCATCCAGTCATTTCCCTGGGGGTGTCAGGATTGTTACCATCTTGGATTTGTCCTCAGCCTGAAAAAGGGTGTGTGCGCCCAGAAGCTTGCAAAGAAAGATCATTTTTTTTTTGCAATTCCTTAGCTGGTCTAATAAAAGGTATTCTCTCTAAAACCAAGAGTTTTAGAGTTTTGCATTTCTTTTTATCTCAGACCAACACGGCTACCAAATACATCCCTGATACACCCATCTGGTCATTCCCCAGTGTAGCTGGGAGAAGCTCCACTGATACAACCCCTCCTGGTACCAATACAGTTGCATTTGCACTAGGGGAGCGGTTTACTGCTTTAATGAGCCCACTACAATTAAACCAGTGCAAGCTTCCAGCAGAAAGAAGCCTTCCCTTTCTCATCGAGAGCTCTCAATTTAGCTGCGACTTACTGAAAACAACCCCTCCACCCCAGTATTTTACAAGTGATCAGAGCAGACAGACAGCAGCTTTGCAACAGAAAACACGAACGTAGATTTACAGGGCCACCGCGGCCAATAACTCAGATCCCGCAATTAGAGAGACATGACTGTGAACGGCCACTCCGGTTACACAAGCAAGAATTTTAAAAAAACGACAGGGGATATTATCAGCCCTCATGCTTCAGGGCACAGGTCCCTTGTTCCTTGAGGTCAGGAAGGAAGTCAGTGTAAAATGTTGCACAATTTCCAAATAAGTTGAGGTTTTAACCAACAAACTGATCAGTGTCTACATCTCAGAGAGCCCCAGTGGGACAAAGCAAGATGAACTCTGGTCTTTAACTATTAAAAGTGGTACAAATTGCAACGCAAGGCACGGTTCCCACTATTCTGGCAGTGCAGGTAGCACAGTGGGGCACCAGTGTGACTGCGATATAAAAAAAAGGCACCTTAGGTATTTGCTGCATTTTTGGCTCATAGCTAGCAAACTTAGGAACACTTGCAATGTATCCAGTGTGAATGAATCCAGATCTTCCAGTCTGGAAGGTACTTTGGATTAATAATATTTTCTCCGCTGGTTTCTGCAGAAGAGAGAGGGAGGAAAAAACGGGTAAATAATAGTAAAAAATAACATTGCTCTTTTTATTTATTCTCCTTTAAAACCAGATGGTGCCTGAGATGTTGTTCAGACCTACATCTGTTTAAAGATCGGAGAGTGAAAATCCCAAGGACTGAAACCTGGATCCAATAACCAAGTGGATTAGTGGCAGAGCATGGCGTACGTTGCAAGGCAACGACTAGATCCCCACACAGGTCTGTGCAGTGCCTGGCGCAAGGAGCCCATTATCTTATGGGGGCCTCGGGGTGGCAATATAAATATTACATAAAAAGTTATTAATGATAATGAAAACCAAACCCCGCCCTTAACAGCTCCACTGATTGGTGGACGAAGGCTCTCCCCCGTGTTTAGGATTGGCTTTATGGGGAGTTTGTATTCTGGAGATTATCACAAACATTTCATCCGTTTGCTTTGGGGATGGAAAAGGCTTGCTGCATTTCAGCGTTTCCATTTTCAGCCAAAGGAGCCAAAAAGAAAACTTTAGGTTTGATTCGCATCAAATCAAACTGAACCCAATGCTTTTTGCTTTCCCTTCCCCCAACCTTTGCAACTTTAAAGCGGGGGAGGCTCAAATACGGTTCATTTTTGTGCAAAAATAATGGAATTGATTTGTTTAAAAAAAAAAAAAAATTAAAAAAATGAAGAAAACTCGTTTTGTTCACTCCATGACACCTCTCATGGGGTCTATTTATAGGTACGAATTAAGAGTTTGAGGTTTCCAGCAAGGCTTTTTGGACTGTTGGCCAAGCCCATCCATCCACGATGGCAATCCTTGGGGTGCAAGGCTTATTATTGCTACAGAGCTGTGATGCTCCCCTGCTGGTTCTTGCACGGAGGTCTCCA